GCCAGGAAGCTTCTACGCTTCAGGATTCAAGGCATACAACACAAAGATATGAAAATTTGATCATGGTTTGATTAGCAGGTCTTGCCACAGCTGTCTCTCCACGAGGAAGAAGCTTGGCTATTGATAATGGCTGGTCTTGAGACATTAACATCTACACTCCTCCCTCCTCTACTACTCATTATTAAAATAAGTAGACAATAAGAGACTTCACGGCTCCACCATACTTTCCCTGAAACGAAAGTGGATCATCTTCTTTGGCTCCAGATTTTACAAACACTTGCAAACACTTGAATCAAAACATAATCAAAATTTCTAACACTTAGAATAATCAAAACTCTTGAACTATTGACTTGGATACACTTTCATTAAAATGCGGTTGCAATGCAGACACAGAGCATACGGCCAATGAAAACTGTGGTTCCATAAGTTGATTTTCTCATTTGAATTAGCTGTAACAAGAACCCTACTAAACTCAATACCACAAAACATCTTATAACACATACTGAATCAATCCACCAAACCCAAACGTCATCGGTATGTTCCTCCAATATTTGAGCCATTCACATAATATCATTAAATGTATACAAATAGTCACATAAAGTTCAATAAAATGAGCCTCATAAGTAATCATTGAATCCAGAACAAGAAACATGAACATATTCAAAGACTCTGACTTAAACAAAATTTTAGCAAAAGTAATGTGACTCTCGTAATGTAAATTCAAAGAAAGAAGGAAGAGTACCCTTTGAATTCGATGTACAAAAAAGAAAAGAATTTTTCGATCAAACCCAATATGCTTCACAGATATCAAACGAATATCAAAGAGGTAAAAAAGTGGAAGCTCCAATCGTCGAACCTGTCTGAAGGGAAGAAATTACGGTTCAGGCATGAAACCATCGACAAGAGAGAGAACTGAATAGGTTGGGCGTGAAATCAAATGTGGATTTAGGGGGAATGGAACCTGAAAATGAAGAGCTCGATCTGCCCAAAAACATCGACCAAAAATGTCGACCAAAAACAAAGAAAGAAAAAAATGGTCGACGGAAAATGATAGAAGAGAAATCTGCGCAAAAACAAATGTTAGCCAATCATATACGGCCACGTCGCCTTAAGAGGCAGTCTCTTCATGCTCTTCTCGAACAGCCGGTTCGTCGAAAATGGACTTTTTCATTTATTTTAAATCATTTTTATCTAAGAAACTGGCTATGAAACTCATCTAAACTCTTAATGGATATGGTCTAAGTCATATTGAGAGAAATATATTAAAATAGTAAAATGCAATAGCCAGTTACGTAAACCAAGTAATTATGTTAACCAATATAAACCGAGTTGAAACCCTCTATGCAAGACAGAGTCTCTCTCTATAACGATTCCGAAACAGCAATAACAAACTTTTTTAAGCATCTTCTTCATTACGCTTTATTGCTTTCACTTCACTAATAAGGTGATGTAACTATGATACAAATATTATTTATTGATTAGAATTATTTATGGTCGACATTTCATATAGAGGGAGACAGACAATGTTAACATACAAACTACCGTGTTTCCCACCGCTGGTCAAAGGGATTCTTTTCACGCACGTGCCCCCCAAAATCGAGAAATAATTAATGATAGTACATTAATAATAGAGGTACAGTACATGATAAATCCTACAATAATGAAAGGTACATGATAAATCCTAAAGTGAAACACTCTTTTATTCGCACAAATTATTGCTTTTTTTATATATATATAGTCAGGAGTATATTCTAATTTTACTACGAGCAATCCATTCACCAAACTTTGTAATGAATTTAAAGCATTAAAGCATGACACTAGCTATGTCGACTGATCAATTGGGAACTTTTAGATAATTCTACATTGAGTGAGGATATACCATGTCTTAAACGAGCAAATAGAAACCTTTAATCCACTACCTTATCACTTTATTTGTATCGGATATCATCATTACTTATATTTGTATATAGATTAAGTGATTAACTACTTAATTCTTAATTACTTTTAAGTTCAAATCTTATATATAAAGTTGCTCAACTTTTCTCTATATGCTTGACACATCAGTATTGGAGAAATGACACATGTCACTTAAATTTTATTAACAAAAATTTAATATTACATTTAAAGCAAGAATATGAAAAGTTTGTTTTATTAATTGACTTTTAACTATATTTATATTAATGTTAAACAAAAATTTATGTTATAACTAATTAAAAATATTGATAGATATGTATTTAATTTTTATATAACTGTAAATTACTTAATAATATTCAATATATATTTTAAATTATTTTTTAAAAATTATTTATAATAAAATATTAACAAGTAACAAATGAAATGATGATTTTATTAATTTAAATTTTTTTATTAATTGAGTATTATTTAATATTTGTGTAAATGTTAAACAAAATTTTATGTTATAACTAATTAAAAATATTGATGATATTTATTAATTTTAATATATCTCTAAATTATTAAATAATATTTAATTTTTTAATTTTTTAGAATAAAATATTAACAAGTAATGATTATATTAATTTCTATAAAAATATATAAAAAATTGAGAAACTTGAAAATAAAAACCGTGTGTGGATATTCACCTAGTAATATTAAAGTAAACATATGAGCGAGTTCAAAAGATTAGAATGGAAAGCAATATTTTGTTCTATTCATATGGTAGGGCCCGTCGAGAAATATGGGCGGTGAGATTGAGACCGGAGACCTTTTTGACCACCGGATGGTCCTGGTCCGTACGGATTGCGATACGGTGTGGTGGGTAGTTAGTGGCGGTGGTGACCATTATGCAGCCACGTCATTCAACCATTTTCTTTTCTTTTCTTTGTGGAAAATTCAAATACACGAGGTTTTACTATAAATCAATAAATTATTTGGATGACAGGGCATCTTCTGGTGATCTGGCTTTAGTATTAAATCGTATTTTGGTTAGTATAGATGGATTTCTTTTTCTCCGCACCTTCTGGTTATGAGCAATACAGTTTTTTTTTTCTTGGTCAATTAATTGATAGTCTATGGGTAGTTACATATATACTATTTTATATTCTTTAGAATAGATGTTTATCACATTCACACAGGCTGCAATCACATTTGCTGTCAAGTCTCGAGCTTTTTTTCTACATCTTGACTCTTAAGATATATAGCATACATGTACAAGTTCAAAAATCGTTTTATCATAGTTTTATTAGATCATCATCTCGTTGACAACAAAAAAATAAGAATAATAAGATCATCATCTCGTTTAAAAAATAAGTTCATCATCTAGATTTTTTTTTATGTTAAATGGTTTGCTTCAATAAATTTAATAATGTTTACAAAGGAACCCGATGAAATTAAACCACTCATCTATTACAACAACAACAACAAAAAGATAAAAAATACCAGCACGTTTTTTTTTTCTTTTTGAAAGATTTGCTTGAATAAATTTAACAATGGAACCAGATGATCTATTAGACTATATTTAAAAAAAAAAAAGTGAAACCAACACATAAACCAGAGGCAAAATGACTGGATGAGGATATATATAATAACGACTGAAAATAAGAGACTACCCGAATAGTCATTTAGATTCTAGAGCTCAAGGTCTCACCAACATTTGTTCAAAACAAAGAAAAAGTTTAACCAAAACATATAAAGTGCGATTAAAAGATATAACAAATTGTTTAACATAGATAAATACTTGAAATTTGAAGCCGAGACAAAAAAAAAAGACGGTATTTGCATTTCAAAAGGCAAATAATTTTACGGTATTTGCATCTCAATGTTTTGAAAATTTCTAAATAATGTAGTAATTTTTTTTTTGAACTTGTATGATTAAAATTCGAATTTAAATAATAATTATCTTTTAAAAAGTGATATTTTTGTGCTCACGAAGGTCGAAGTAACGCGTTCGTCATCAGATTTGATATATGTTTAAAATGGTGTCTACGAAGTACGAAGTACTCCACGTCAGATTTGATAACATACAGTTCTAATCAATATTTTACTCTAAGCGCTATTTCCCAACGTTCTCTTATGTTAAGATGTTTTTAAAAGATTTTTTATTTTATTTTATTAGTTTCAGTTTTTTAAATTTATATTTATTTAATATTTTGTGATGTAGTATTCTTTTTATTCTTTAGATTTTTTAAAAAATTTGACTACATTAATTAAACAGTAATATATTATGTACAAAATGAATAACATTAATATATATATATATATATATTCTATAATTCTCTTATTTTTTTTTTATACGAGACTTCAAAAAACAATTCTCTGACTCTTTTATAAATTCATGTCTCCTAATCTCAAATCTATATATTAAGGCCGTTTGCAACTATTTGGAGCCATGTATTATAAAATATATTATATGTGTATTTTAAAATAAAATGATAAAGACCCAAATTATAAATATTCGAAACCATAATTCTAATAGATTTTTAATTAAAACAAAATTATAGAATAAAATAAGCAAATTAGAAATATAGTTTTATAATAACGGTTATTTTTTTGATTAATAAAATAACTGGGTTAAAATTATATTTTTATAATCATAGTGGTCATAAAATACTAAAAAAAATTATATCTAAATACAAATTTTTCTATATCACTTATTGAAAATTTATATTTATAAAAAAAATATAAATTAGATTACAAATTTTAATTAAAACAAAATTCTCATACGGATGCACAGTCTAAAATCTAATAAAACTTAAAAGCAGCGTCTAATTACAGAATGCACCACTTAACGTGTTAAAAAAGACAGCCTTTCCAAAAAAAAATGGTACAATATAATATAGATCTATCCATTCATTTTAGAAATTGACACCCATGCATGCATGCCAGCATAATCCCACTCCACACGTAACTACGTGGGAAGCTCACTTCACCTGGAACCAAACAAGCCTTCCCACAAATTTAATGACTTTCTTTTATTTCTCTATATATACAAGTCCACTTAAACACGGACTCTATAACATTCTATCTTCCAATTATTAGCACATTCAAATATTCAATACACACACTGACACACACATACACTATAGTACTAAACAACCTTGTATTAACAACATGGAAAACAATCATGTTGGTCAACAAGAACACCGCTTCACCGTTGACCAAGTGTCCTACAGAGGCGTACGCCGGAGGAAATGGGGCAAATGGGTGTCGGAGATCCGAGAGCCCGGTAAGAAAACCCGAATTTGGCTCGGAAGCTACGAGACGGCTGAGATGGCCGCAGCGGCCTACGACTCTGCCGCTCTTCACCTCCGAGGACGTGGGACACATCTCAACTTCCCGGAGCTCGCAGACAGCTTTCCTCGGCCGGAAAGCTCTAGCTCCGAGCACGTTCAAGCAGCCGCTCAGGGGGCAGCACTGATGTTGAAACCGGGTGGGTCTACCGAACCAGATACCGGGTCAGCTCAGGGACTTTCTCGGGTTGGATTGTCTCTGGATCAGATTCAGGCTATCAATGAGTTTCCGTTGGACTCGCCGAGGATGGGATGGATGCAGGATTTTGAAGTGAATGATTACGAAGAGTTGTACGGACGGTTTTTTGGTCAGTGTGACAGAAATGAGTTTTTTGAAATGCAGCAGCTTCAATCCATATGGGATTCTAACTGATATTGATATTTGATTATTTTTATGATGTCACCAACCATTTTAAGGATTCGATTTTACGGATTAATTATTCAGTGGAATATAATATATTGGGGACTCGAAATGTCTTTCTTGGATTCAGTTTATTACCTTCTAACAATGAAGACATCATATTTGCCAATGTGCTTGAATCAAAATTTTAATTATTTCTATTTCTGAGCTGCTGGTCTGCAAGATAATATCTCGTATGGTTTATATGAAAAAATGGAAATAGATTGACGAACTAAAATTATTTTTTGACATCAAAATATATTAAATATCGTAAAAAAAGAAGTCTACATCCCGTAATATATAATTTTATATTTTGAAAATAAAAATTAAGGATTAACAATTTATATTATTCTGATCAGTTTCTTTAAAAGAGATAAGCCCCAAAAAATGTTGTGATTTTCGAAAATAATAGTAATAATAAATGTGAAAAACAGCCAAATGGGTCAATTAGAGAACTGAATTCTGCTTTAGGAGTGTCAACACCTAAAACTAACCAATTTGCTGTTGGTCCTTTGAACATTTCTATGCATTAAATATCTTTCACTATTTTAGGGTGTCATGTGACATATTGAATGTATAATTAGTTGAATATATGAGAAGATCATTATATAGGTTTCTATATAGAGTTTCTGAGAGTAATTTCAGGAGACTGTATACAATAATGAAGAAGTGATTCTATGGATGATATAATGTGAATGATATTTGTGGATATTTTTAATACACCCCTTTCCAACTCAAAGTGATGATGGAGTGAAGGAGACAATGACTGCATGAGATTGAATCATCTATGACGAATTTGATTGGAGTGAAGAAGCATTGTGTTTGAACAATGCTGTTGGCCATATTCACCATAGAGTGCCAATTTTTAAATGGAGGGTGGAAGGACTTTTGTTGTGTTTTGGAAGCATAAGGCTTGGTGATTAAATAGAAGCATGTAGGTTTGAAGCAGTCGTTGACGACTTAAATACGAGATCAACTTGGATCAAGAACAACATTGATCGTGTGGAAACATATAAAATTTAATGAAGGTTGAATCGACTTGCACCGTGAATATTGATTTTGGATGAGCTATGGCTTAAAACTACAAAAGGCTTGGAAACCAAATTAATGTCTTAAGCGATACACTATAAATTTTTGAAAGAAAAAGAAGTTGGATCGTAAGATCGAAACTCAGGAGTATAACCCACTTCGATATCATATTGAATAAGAATATGTTGAGTTGTATATACGAGAAGATGATCATGAAAACAAAAGAAAACAAGACAGAACAAAATGTTGCAAACAAGAGTATGGAACTTTTTTTTCTACTACCACGTGTTTAATCTTCTGATTGGCCTATTTACTTATGAGTTGGAATCATTCTTACGTACGTACAAAAAATAAATGTAAGGATTGATCAAATTCCGAATGTAAAATGGGCTGTTTGCACAAATTTAGAATCAAATTCCGAGACTCCGAGTTTCCGTTGAGTAAATCAGTAGTACAAGATATGTATAATTTCTCTAAGCTGTGTATCATTTATTTATAGGAAGAAAATGTTTATCATTTATTTATCAAAGAAAAAAAGAAAGATGTGTGTCATTTATTCACAAGAATCGTGTAATTGCGTTGGTATCATAGTACACTCCGTGTGGAGACAGAAGAGAGTCAAGAAACGATTCCAATATGCCGCCCGAATCTCCTGGGGACCTACTTTACACTGACATCTCAGCTTTTAACACTTTTCTTATCCTTAATGTTATCTTCAAAAGTTTTGATATATTGATCAACCCATAAACAATATTAAAATTGATAAAGCTGGCGATCTATTTGTCCACGAAATGTATCATATAGCATCATGTGTGGCTGAAACTAAGACCCGTGTTATACCTTTTCCAAAAATAATTCGAAATCTATATATCTCCGAATTTTTATTTAAAAGAAATCTATGTTTCGATTTTTTTTTTTTTTTTGTGAGATATAGCGCAGGGTCTTATCTTTAGTATATGTACTTCTCGTGGGAAGTTTATTAGTGCCTCATGGTGATATATGCAATTGATACGATGCTCAATTCTTAGTAATACGATGTGTTTGATATGGCGACTCTTAGTATCACGATGTGTGATTGATATGGTGATATATCGGCTACACATGCGCATACATATATTTTCGAATTTTGTAATGTGTTTACATAATCCAGTAATATTCTCTTATATTAAAATAACCACATAAGTACATAACACAAGTACACAACACCAACACAAAAGTCCTTATTTAGTAAATGTTGGACTAATTTTAATAAAGCATATGGACTTTATAAAATTTTGTATGTGTGAAAACGAAATGGGTTTGGATTCATAAAGAGAAAGCCTTTTAGAAGGCAACATGTAAATGAGGAGGTGGGGAATTGTCCCACATCGGGTAAAGAAGGAGAAATCTTCTTGTTTATATAGGGAAGAAGACTCTTGGGAGTCTAAAAGCTGTTGGAAGGAGAGATGGTCCCTGCGCGCGCGTGCTCGCTCGCTCGGCTCGGCTCGGCTCGGCACTGGCGCTGGCGCTGGCGTTGGCGCGTGGCTCTTGGCTCTTGGCTCTTGGCTCTTGGCTCATTAACTATCTTTTTGGACCAGATTCAGATAAATGTTTGGGTCAAAACAAACATTTATTTTTGGAGAAATTTGTTCAAATATTTCCGTTAAAGAATATTCGTTCCAGATTTTTCGCCCACGATCACCATTTACTCTAGTCAATTATTCTGAGCGAGTCTCACGGAATAATTGATTTCGTTTTGACTTCAAAATCAAAACGGGCTCTTGTCTTGGCTATAAAAGAAAGCCTTCCCTTTCCTCATTTCTCACCAAGTTTAATACACAGAAAATTTCCAACAGTCTCTCTTTCGTTTAAGTAAGTTCCGAGAGTATAGCGTAGTATTTTTCTAAGTTCATAGATTCTGTTTTCGAGTGTTGCGAAACGGTCTCATGCGCGTTGTATCCTGGGACTCAAGAATCGTACAGAACCGTCACACTAACGGGCGATTCATTTGAGTTAAGGAAAGAGAGAAATATCGCCTCAGCGTTTCTTTGGGTTTCTTAAAACGTTTTTCAATCCTCTTGTTCCTCCTTTCTTTCCGGTTTATATCGTTCCCTCTGCAACTGTTTATCTGACTTTAGTTCATATTTTAATCGCTTATTATTGCTTATTACCGTTTATATAATCAGTTCAATCGCAATTTTATGTCTGTCCATTTTTGTGGTTTTACAGTCTTAACTCAAATGATTCCGCTTCTAGTTTATCACTACAATCGGATTTAGACTTTCTGCGATTTCATAAACGATCTTTATAAACGTTTTCCGGTTTTGAGCGATTACGGATTTGCGAATCATTTTATAGTGATTCCGCGAATTGTTTTCGAAACGATACAGACGGTTTTGCGAACGCTTTACAGTGATTCCGCAAAAGGGTGAAGGTTTCTGCAACGCTTTAGAGCGAGTTTGCAAAACGCTTTGACCATTTAAAAAACGTTTCAGCGAATGCTTTTACAAGCGAGTTTGCTAAACAACAGTTTTGGTTTATTTTAGATAAATCATTACTTCAACTGCTGTGTGTTAAATCGCACAAAACTGCTTTGTGTTAAATCGTTTACATACTGATACCTGTTCTTTACTACCGAGTCCAACAATAACACACCAATTTTGGGGGCTGATGCTGAAAATGTGGGGGCTGGTACGACACCAACTGTGACCCAAATCAGTGATGGAACCGAGGAGATAGCAAGGAGAGCTTTATTTAACTCTGGTCTTCCTTTGGTGCCTACATCCATTGAAGTCAACAATGATATTCCGTCAGCAGTCACTCAAGGGCTCATGCCAGACAAGTTCGATGGGAAAGGCTTCAAAAATTGGCAACAAAAGATGCTGTTTGCCCTGACCAACCTGAAGTTTGACAAGTATCTGACCGAGGACAAACCAACCATTCCGGCTGGGAACACTGATGTCCGCACACTTGCAAGCGTTGAGTCATGGATTCATGGTGATTATCTGTGCAGAGGATGGATCTTGGCCACCTCGTTGAGAAGCTGTATGGTGTCTACAGCAATGCCAAATCATCCAAGGCATCGTGGATGTATTTGGAGAAGCAGTACAGAACAGAAGATGCTGGCTGCCAGAAGTTTGCAACTGAGAAGTTTCTAGACTTCAAAATGGTGGATTCCAAACCAATAATGGATCAAGTGGAGCAGCTCCAGCTAATCTGTTATGAGGTAGCAGCGGAAGGAATGTCGGTTTGTGAGATCTTCACAACAAACGCCTTCATTCATAAGCTACCTCCAAGCTGGGATTCATTCAAGGCCTACCTCAAACACAAGAAAAAGGTGTTATCTCTTGAAGATCTCATCACCAGGTTGCGAATGAAGGACAGAAACCGCAACCAACATGGTTTCTCTCAGGGTTTGGGACACAATGCGAATGTGGCCATTCACAAGGGAAAGGGAAAGGCTAAGGTTTATGAAAAACCATCACTGAAACCTTCATCCTCCACGAATTTCAAGAAGAATGGAGCCTCACAAAAGAAGTTCAAAGGCAAGTGCCACAACTGCAACAAGCTTGGCCATAAGGCAGATGAGTGTCGCAGCAAGCCCAAGAATAATGGGAAGGTTCAAGCCAATTTCTTGACTGAGGGAGACCTTTGTGCTATGGTCTCAGAAGTCAACATGATTGAAGACAATCAAATGGAGTGGTTTTATGACACTGGTGCCACGACCCACATTTGCACTGATAAGGCAATGTTTAGCACTTATCAGGAGAGCAAGGGACATGAGCAGATGTTCATGGGAAACTCTGCATTTTCAAAAATTGCTGGTCGTGGGAAAGTTGTGCTCAAGATGACCTCAGGAAAAGAAGTCACTCTCCAGAATGTGAAGCATGTTCCTGACATTAGGAAGAATCTGATTTCCGGCACTCTCCTCAGCAAGGCCGGATTTTCAGCTCACCTTGAGGCGGACAAACTGGTGTTCAAGAAGTTTGGGGTGTTTGTAGGCAGGGGTTATGTGAAAAATGGACTTGTCAAGATGTGTGTTACGACAGTCCTTCGTAACAATGATGTTGCTAATGTTGCTTCTACTTCCAATGCTGTAGCCTCTGTGGCAAATGTTTCTATCAATGAGAATAACCCAGTTGCTTATTTGCTTGAGTCTTTTAATATTTGGCATGAAAGATTAGGACATGTGAATAATAAATCTATACAGAGATTAATGAACTTGAACCTAATTCTGAAAAGCAAACCAAGCAAAGAGAAATGTGAAGTTTGTGTACAAGCTAAACTCACTAAAACTCCATCACCCAAAGTTGAAAGAACAAATGAACCTCTAGGTTAAATACACACAGATTTGTGCGATTTAAAATTCGTACAAAGTAGAGGTGGTAAGAAATATTTTGTGGCATTTATAGATGATCACACAAAATATTGCTATGTATACTTGTTACACAGCAAAGATGAAACTTTGGAAAAGTTTAAAGAATATAAATGTGAAGTTGAGAACCAACTAAATAAAACTATCAAAATAGTTAGAAGTGATAGAGGAGGTGAATATGATGGACCGTTTAATGCCTTTTGTCAAGAACAAGGGATTATCCATCAAACAACTGCTCCTTATTCACCAGAATCTAATGGAGTTGCGGAACGCAAGAACCGAACTCTTAAAGAGATGATGAATGCAATGTTGCAGGAATCTGGGTTACCCCAGAACATGTGGGGGGAAGCATTGCTTACCACAAATTATATCTTGAACAAAATACCACACAAAGTCACAGGAAAAACTCCCTATGAACTTTGGAAAGGTCATGCACCATCATATAAATACTTGAAAGTGTGGGGGTGCCTAGCAAAAGTCGCAGCACCACCTCCGAAAAAGGTCACAATCGGACCAAAAACCGTGGATTGTATTTTCATTGGTTATGCACACAACAGTAGTGCGTATCGGTTTCTGGTTCATAAATCAGAAATCCCAGATATTCATGTAAATACAATAATTGAATCAAGAAATGCATCTTTTTCGAAAATGTTTTCCCATGCAAGGATAAACAACCTCATAAAAGAACTTTGGAACAAAGAGAAGCAAGCTCTTCTACAAATGAGGCAAGCACTCCTGGAACTTCAGAAAACTTTGAAGATGAACCTAGACGAAGCAAACGAGCTCGTAAGGCAAAATCCTTTGGGGATGATTTCTTGATGGTTCTTCTTTTAGAAAACGAACCTAGGACATATGCTGAAGCTATGTCTATACCAGACGCTCCTTTTTGGAAGGAAGCTGTTAATAATGAGATGGAATCTATTAAACAAACCCACACATACTACATCATTGATTTACCTGAAGGGTTTAAAGCATTGGGGTGTAGATGGATTTTCAAAACAAAGTTGAAAACTGATGGGTCAATTGATAAGTACAAGGCCAGGCTTGTGGTGCAAGGATTCCGACAAAAAGAAGGATTGGATTACTTTGACACTTATTCTCCAGTAACGAGAATAACTTCGATAAGATTGCTGATTGGAATAGCAGCATTAAGAGACCTAGAGATCCATCAAATGGATGTAAAAACTGCCTTTCTAAATGGTGATTTAGAAGAGGAGATTTACATGAAACAACCTGAGAGGTTTGTTATACCTGGACAAGAACATAAAGTTTGTAGACTTGTGAAAAGTTTGTACGGACTTAAACAAGCTCCAAAAAAATAGCATGAAAAATTTGACAGTGTAATGATGTCAAATGGGTTCAGCATAAATGAATGTGATAAGTGCCTGTATTTCAAAAATACCTCACAAGGGTATATTTTGTTATGCTTGTATGTTGATGATATGCTCATTCTTGGGAGCAACAAAGCCATCATCAATCAAACTAAGAACCTGCTAAAGAGCAAATTTGATATGAAAGATATGGGATTAGCAGATGTAATTCTGGGGATTAAAATCATTAGAACCACGGAAGGATAAACTCTGACTCAATCTCATTATGCTGACAAGGTACTTGAGAGGTTCAAAGCTTACTCAAATGGTACAGAAAAAACTCCTCTGGACCCTCATCTCCACTTCACTAAAAACAAGAAGGATGATTCAGTGTCACAACTGGAGTATGCTAGAGTGATTGGAAGTCTGATGTACTTAACAAATTGTATTAGACCTGACTTAGCACACACAGTCAATGTACTGAGTCGTTATACAAGTCATCTAGGACATACACATTGGAAAGGTATAAACAGAGTATTAAATTATCTTCGCTATACAAAGATTATGGTCTCCACTAT